TTAAAATCTTAAAAGTCAAAAGTAATATTTTAAAAACTATTCGTTGAGACACGGGTAGCCAGTGGCGGTTTCGCAGAATTGGTGTGATGTGGTCGGACTTCTGAGCTTTACAGAGGAGACGAGCAGCAGAGTTCTGAATTGATTGTAGCTTTTCCATTTGATAGTTAGGTATTCCAAACAATACGCTATTGCAATAATCCAGTCTAGACGTTACAAATGCATGGATGAGTAATTCAGTTTGCTTGGTGTTAATAAGGTGAAAGATCTTGGATATCCGTTGGAGACTAAAATATGCTGTTTTACATACTTTGTTAATGTGTGATGTCATTTCACATTTGTTATTAAATGTAAGTTCCTTACTTCTGTTGTTGGTTTTATAAAAGAATCCCAAACTCTAATACTATCAAGTGCAATATTGTCTTTGGAAAACTTAGAGTTGAAATGGACTACAATTTTTGCCTTTTTATGCATTTCTTGTTGTTTTGAAGTTAACTAGATTAAATTTACTTCATGAAATGACAGTGTGTGTGGTTGTGGTGCTCACAGTATGTGAATATGGGGGATGTATTGCCTCATGTCTTGTATGAATGTCACAGTAAGATATTGAGAATTTGCCCTCTTCTGATATTTTTTTGTGTTTTGGTTTTTATTAGATGGAATGGCTTGTTAAATGACATGTAATATACTTGATTCTGCATAGATAGATATATTATGAGAGGGAGATAATTCACTTTTGAGGATATGAAAGTCATTTTTTAGATATTCTGCAAATCCCTTTTCATGCTCTTTCCTTACATTTTGATTTAAGTAAGATTAAAAAAAATACAAAAAATGTAATATTATCCATGAAAAGGAGTTAAACTTGTACAGGAATGTCCAATAAATAATAGGTTTATCTACCTTTTTATACTTTCCGTGACCTTGATCATTGACAGTACAAAGGCTTATATTAAGCTATCATAATAAGGTATCGGTATTACACAGCTGAAGATATATATATATATATATATATATATATATATATATATATATATATATATATATATACTGCCAAATATAGTGTAACTTTTCATAACAGTCTGTTGGAATATCTCTTGAACATATTTTTCATTTTATCATAAATTGAATAATATATCATGCCCAACAAAAAGCTTAGATAGGACATTCACTATGGGAAAGTCGATTTAAGGTACTGGCATGTCAGCGAAGAGCATTGTTATCAGCCCAGCATGTGTGTGCATGGGGTGAGTGTAGGGGTACACATGCTTGTAAATTATCCAATGACGCTATTTTCACACTTGTAACTTTTATAGTTGTGAAAGATGCAAAATTGAAAACTAATCACAAGCATATTTTTCAAAAATATGAATAACAAATTTTAACTTTTCACATGTTTACTCATTTGTCAGGAGACAAATGTGTGATATCAATGAGAGAATTTTTTTCTCAAAAATGAGTTTTATTTCTTACATTGCATATTACAACCTTCATTGGTTGACCATTTTAAATAGATAAACACTTAACATAATAAAAAGCCACTATTACATTTTAAGTGTGTTTTCAAATTGCAAATTTTTGTTATAAGGAAAAGTTTATTTTTGTTAAAAAATCTCCCATGCACAAACCTGCAAAAACATGGGTTATAAGTTTTTGAAGGAAAATTGTTTCATGAAAAAAGAACATTATATTTGTAAAATTCCTCCTTTGTTTTAATTTATAAATATTGTGTATTTTATGAAACAAAATGTACTAGTACAATAATTAGTGTATGGTAGTTGTGAACACTCTAGTTTGTAGACTTGTATGTATTTCCTAAACTCTTCAGGGCTTCATTTAAATGGGATCTTAATTGATTTAAAGATATGCATGTTTGCCACAGTTCAGCTGCTGCTGATGAGCTTCATTTATCTATACTTATACTGATACACTTTTAGAGTAAAAAGTTCTATTTTAGATAATTCAATTGTTACCAGCTTCCCTAATATATTATCAAGATTGTGATTTAATTATTTATATTGATTTTAGTGTGTATTGTTGTTTTGTTTGTGTAACTATGGACTCGTCACTCGTCTTGTCTTGTGACTTGATGTAATTCTGACGCCCTCTAATTGTTCCTTTGTCTGTTCCTTTGTCTATGTCCCTTTGTTCTGTCTTCCCGCGTCTTTGTCATGTGACTTGACATTATAAAAGGCATTGGCGCCGTATTTTCAAATAGTGCTGAAGTTGCTGTTCGTCTGTCTGTTTCTATGTGGTAAGTTGGATGTCATCTAGTTAATTCTAGTTATATTTTATCTTGCCTTTTGCGTATCCAACTCCACTATACAATACTGTATTACATCGTTTTCTACTCTTTAGTTTTCAGACCAAGCCGTATTGGTATATCCAGCACTCTTTCTAAACGCCCTTGAATAAGATCAGGGTAAGCCGTTATAGCCTTTATAAACCGTAGTTATCTATATCAAATTTATTATTTCCTTATCATAGAGGTAAACTATAGAATTATAAGTTATTTATTGTATGTCATTTTATTTAATCATATGTCACCTTTATTACAGGGTGAAAATTTTAGTTACAGCAATAAAGTCATTTTACACAACCAGAGAGTCCGTCTGTTACATTTGTGTGTGTGTGTGTGTGTGTGTGTGTGTGTGTAGAAAGATATAAGCAGTTACAAAAGTTTTCTTGTAAATTACTTTTTAAAACTTTTTAATATTTAACCTAATATTTTTCTAGGCTTGAAGAACATGAATGGGACCAGGACTAATCATTTTGCAATTCCTTGGCCTGCAGTTTTTATGACAGAATCACCTATCATTTCCAAATACTGTGTGGCAGTGAGCACCATTACAACCTAACTTACCTAAGACAATCTTTTAAGGACTGAAAAATATTTTTTGTGCTGTGCTAGCTGTTGCTAATAATAATATTTATTGATCATCAGTATTACTACATTTGTCATATATTTTACCAGTATATTAATTTGAACCATGCACCATAGGTAAGGTATGCTAAGTTTAGCTCTTGCATACATGACATGCCTTGTAGACAAAAAATTATACTTATAAAAATAAATTCAAATGCAAGTATGGATTGGTACAGGACTAACTGGGTATCAGTGAAAAAAGCTGCTGACCCAAGGTAAATTCATAAAATAATATTATTATAATTATTAAAATTGATCCTGTTTTTAAAAGGAGTGGTGTGTTCTATATGTACTGATTAAGAAGTGTAAAATAATCGCCATATTGATGTTTTGCTAAAATAAAAAAAAAATTGCCACAAATATACAATGTATATGTGTATTACATGTATGAAAATAAAATAAAGCAAATTCAATTGATGTCTCTTTTGTTTTGTTTTTTCATAAAAAAGGAACTCTTATCAGTTGGCCTCATATAATAAATAAATGCTTATTTACAAAGAAAAAAAATATGAAATGTTTATTTTCCTCCATTCTTCCTGTGCAAGCCTTATTTCTCTATATAGACAATATTGAGCGGTGGAAAAACCAAAACGAGGTCAGAATACCAACAGAATTCACTGAGTCAAAACGAGGCTGGTATACGGCTGTTGCAAGGAAGACATTTTTTGCATACACGGGTGTGAATTGATTTGTGCCATTCCTGGATGAAGGTAAAGTTCCTTACATGCTTACATTTACAGAAAGCTGAATAAATGTGTCACAACTTATTGGTAATTTAAAATTGGAACCTGTTCTCTAAGAATGCAAGCATTAGAGTCAAAGTTGAACTTCCGCTGTAGCTTTAGTAAAAGTTTTGGTTTCAAACTCGCTTTTCTACACAAAATAGGGTTTAAATCAACTCGAGGAGCATCTGACATAATTTGCAATTTACTTTTAAAAATGACAGTATACATAACAAAACTTTTATACCCTTTATAGCCGAGATATTTCACCGTTTCTGACACCCTATAAATCTCAAAAAATTTCACCCAATTCAAATTCTTGAACTTCCGGTTTGGATAAAAGCCACCTAGCGGCAGACCGGTGGCTCCCGGGCTGAGATCGACCATATCGCTGCCATAACATGGTTTTAGAATGGAAAATTCTGCCGTTTGCCTTTCAAGTTACATAGCTTTGGGTTTGCAGACTAAAAGGTGAGTCTTTTTTTTGCATTCACTAAGTTTCATATAAGCGCCGAAATGTATAGAAATGATTTTGGAGTAACCTCCCTTCGCATAGTTCAGATGCACTTGTTGACGTTCAGGCCCCCGTTTCACAAAGAATCTTAAATCCGTAGACGTCTTACTCGAGCTGGGTGGCCTAGCTAGGTCGACTTAGCTGAAGTCGACTTGGAGTGTTTCACAAAGAATCTAACGTCTTAGCTTGGCGTGCTTACCGTAGTCGACGCGCACGAGAAACTCTTCAAGAAAAGGAGGTGTAAAATTGCAAAAGTTTCACAAGACATGACGTTTCATGGCCTCTTTCGGCCGAGAACGATCGTTTATCAACGATAAAAGTCAGCCAAAACACAAAGTTTGTTTTTGAACTTTATTGATTAGTTTAACTTCAATACAACTTCAAAGCAACAGTTAAACATTAGCTTGTCGTGGAACACTACTGAGGGACGTCTAGCGGTCAAAAACATAAACAAACACGCGATCGGCTGGGTAAAGTGGAATTTTATTTTTTGTTTCAATATTCCATAAATGTCAGTGCTATTCAAGGATATTATAACACAATATCTTGAAGGAGGTATGTTCTTTCCAAATTTTTGTTGTTTATGCTCTCATTTACCGAGTTTTAGTTGAGCTTGCCGACTTAATTAGTCTCCTCCCGAGGAGGCTTGACATCGTCGACTTACAGCTAAGAAAAAAACGACGTAAGCGACCTTTGAGATTCTTTGTGAAACGGGACTTAGTGACGTAACGACTTAATTACGTTGGTAACCAAGCCCTAAGTCAGGGAAACCGACTTAAGTTTTTTTGTGAAACGGGGGCCAGGCCCGATCGCGTGTTTGTTTATGTTTTTGACCGCTAGACGTCCCTCAGTAGTGTTCCACGACAAGCTAATGTTTAACTGTTACTTTGAACATAGAAGTAGAGAAAATGGAATGCCAACTTCAAATCTCGCAGGCCGAGCTTGTGACCCCGAGAGTTGGGCGAGAGTTGGGGAGTTTCACTTCCGGTTTCCATGCCGCTGCATTCAACTCACGCTTTACATGTTTCAATAACTACTATTCATAGCGACTAAAGCTAGTTTTTACGATTATGTGATTCGATATGGCGTATACGGGAGTCTGGACATCTAACTGCAGTTTTTATGGTGTGAAAACGGAATCATTAAAAACCAAAGCGCTTTATTTGGTGCGTGTGACAGAGTGTATTAACGAAGATAACACGGAATATAATTTAGCAATGTAAGTAATAAATTTTGTTTTTTAATACAATATAGTGTTCTTTAAGCGTAAATTTTAGGAGTGAGAGGCTCATTCATGATATGATCTGTCCTTGAATACGATGGTCGTCTGACGCCGATTGTTTTTTCGTTTATCCCTCAAGTGTCCACGTACGGTCTTCGAGAAATCTGTGAACTAAATGTCGTTATCCAAGCTGTTAAATAAAAGCACAGAATATTCATATATATAAATATTACATATTTAGTCACCCCCTTTTCATTTTATGCATTTGTACAAGCAAAATACGAACATGTTTAATAGAAAAAAAAATGGAAAGATCCAAGTCATAATTGGAGTTGGGCCATATCAACAGTGGATCATTGCAACACTAAACTAGATCAGTTATAGCTGGTTATACTCCTGGAGATATAGCTTCAACATATAATTTAGATTAACCTGACTATGTACGTTTAATAATGGCAATTCATTATAAATGTAAATTTTTATTCCGTTCATTTCAAGGGTGTCAGAAAGGAGTTTCTGTTGTGATGTTTTATGCAGTGCCTCTTCACAGAAGTGCAAGGGTCTTTCTTTTCACAGCTTGCTTAAGGTAAAATTGAAGCAACACAATAATAATCAAGCAAACCATTTTATTATTACCTCTCTTCCACCTTTCCCCAAGTGAATAACTATCTACTTTCACAATAATTACAAATAAAACATTTCATGATAGCTCATAATGTTCAATATTTTACACCTCCGTATGACTATATGCTACCTTTTTGATTCCACAAAGAAACTCCCATTTCCAAGGAAAGTACTAGAATTAAGGTGGTAAATGTATCTTTTCATATCCACAGGGGTGTCTGAGGTTTCAGACGAATGGAGAAGTCAGCTGATCCACAGCCTCAACAGATGTGACGGCTACTTCAATCCAGAGGAAGCCAAGATCTGTTCCAGACTTTTTTAAGCAGATCGTTTCATTAAACGTATGTGTACATTCAGGCTGTATAATTGGGAGATGAATATTATTCCCTGAAAGTTTATTGAACCTGATTAAATTGATTTAACATCCCTTTCACCTCCTTATTACAACTTAAATTCAACATTGCTGTTTGCTTACCAAATGAGGACTTATGTCTCTGTTTCATAGCTTTATTTTTTACATCAGACATTTAGCAGTGCACACATGTATGGTGAAACTGATTGCAGTTACATACACACTGAGACTATCCTTACTTTAAAATAGACACTAAAGATTAAAGAAATGTGCACAAAAACGGCTGAATTTGTACATTTAGCATGATATGTAGAACTAAAATGGCAATCTGGAATAACAGAATTAGAGCAACATGCATTGGAAAAAAATGTATCTGTATTGGAAAGGTGTCCCTAATATTGTTCCATTTCCACTAACATAAACTTTGCATTTGTAGTGATAGGTGCAAGTGCGACTTAGCAACCTGTTGTGTCTGCTTCTGGCTGTGTACTGTTATCTCTGGGTTGACTCTGTTCTTTATGCTTATCACTTCCTCTACATATATGTTTCAGTTTGCTGACTACAAAAACCACCATTCACTATTAGGGCTGATGAAATGTGCATCCAGGACTTTACTGAAGATAGCAAGTGTCAACCAGACTGAGTTGGTGATCTTCTGCTATAATGGCTGTCATTCTGGTTGTAGCAGTGAAGAAAGCTGACTGGGATGCCTCTCTGTTCAGCCTGGAGACCTTGGACTTCTTTACCAAACAGGGAGATATGCATTGTCTCAAAAGTTTGCGAATATCTGAAACTAAATTAGAACTGTGTGTTAGTCATGCACATTTTTAAAGTACTAATGGCAGAGTACAACTAATTCTGTCTGACTCCAGCTTTTGATGTATCCAAGAATATTGCTGTTTGAGAAATCCGTTTCAATACTAGGTCTTTATTTTTAACTATGACTATGTGAAACATTGGTTTTTAAATGCATATTATAGAATAACCCATAGTATATATGAATAATAGCTGTGAATAAACTGAGTATGTAGGCAAGGAAAAGTTACCATTATTATAAACAAGTTGAAATACTATTGTGATAAAGTTCAACCCCATCTAGCATTTACACCTTTTAATAAAATAATTGCACCAATAGTATTCTATGGGTCAGATGCATGGGGCTTCAAACTGTGTGAACCGGTGCTGATATTATTTTGAACGAAATTTAAGGTGTAAAATCAAGCACTTCCAAATTAGCTAACTCAGGTGATCGCATCAAATAACCCATGATTTGCAGCTAAGAGTAAAAAAATCATAATAAATAATAATAATAATTAAATAAATAAATAAAGCTGAAAAAAAAATAATAAAAAAAAAATTGGAATAAACTGAGGAGAATATAGCAAACTATAAAATGCTCTTGACGTTAGATGAGGCATGATGTATTACATTGAAAACAAGCAAAAAGATTTTTATATAGTTTTGGAAGTGTGTGGTATAATTAAGGCGCAGGAATTTTTTTTTTTTTTTTTTTTTGGATTCCTTGAACATTAGACTGAAAGATTACCATGTTCAAAAATGTATTAAACAATTGCAAAATACCTCTAAACTGAAATAATTAATAATAATAATAAAAAAACACTTCTTTAAAACCGCGCTACACATGCGTCTCAGCGCTGTTTACATAAAAAATATAACTCCACAGATAAATTAAAGCCAGTATAGACTAAAAACAGAATACTTAAAAATTTTAAAAACTAAAAAGATGCTATAAATTAAAGTATTCTTTAAATAAAAAAGTTTTTAAATTCTTCTTAAAACAGTAATATGAGTCATCCAGAGACACATTAGATCTTGTGATAAAATTAGACCATAAAATCGGTGCACAAATCTCGAAACTTCTGTGTCCATATGTTTTAAGAGTCTTTTTGGTGTCTTTTCGCTTAAGTTGAAGTTGTCCACTAGATCGAAGTGATCTGATAGGAGTTAAAAGTTCTATGGTAGAGTTTAAGTAAAATGGACAGTCGCCCTTTAAAATCTTAAAAGTCAAAAGTAATATTTTAAAAACTATTCGTTGAGACACGGGTAGCCAGTGGAGGTTTCGCAGAATTGGTGTGATGTGGTCGGACTTCTGAGCTTTACAGAGGAGACGAGCAGCAGAGTTCTGAATTGATTGTAGCTTTTCCATTTGATAGTTAGGTATTCCAAACAATAGGCTATTGCAATAATCCAGTCTAGACGTTACAAATGCATGGATGAGTAATTCAGTTTGCTTGGTGTTAATAAGGTGAAAGATCTTGGATATCCGTTGGAGACTAAAATATGCTGTTTTACATACTTTGTTAATGTGTGATGTCATTTCACATTTGTTATTAAAAATAACACCCAAGTTCCTTACTTCTGTTGTTGGTTTTATAAAAGAATCCCCAACTCTAATACTATCAAGTGCAATATTGTCTTTGGAAAACTTAGAGTTGAAATGGACTAATTCAATTTTTTCATCATTAAAAACTAAGTAGGGGCCTAGTTGGACTTGAGCCAAGATCTAAGTTCATTCACACAAGCATTTTCTAAATGTTTCAGCAGAAGATGCTTTACGTATTTGTATCTGATTTCTCTAAATTTCACTGTTCTAATCATATACTGATGATTAGACACGAAAATAGAAACAAAAATATTCCATACAAGTATAAAACTATTTTATATGCAGGTCAAGAGTAATCATTTGCTATTGTTATTATGTATTCAGTAACAGCTGTTATTGCTACTATAAAGGGGCCCGCACACGGTGAGCATTCGGCGCGCGCCACTTGCGCTGCGCCAGATGCTCGCGCTCCTCAGCTCTCCGCAAACGATGCGCTCTTTGCTCAGCAGAGATACCTCCCGGCCTGCCCCTATCGGACGCACCGCGAACTGTGGGATCATGTGATTAAGGAAACATTACATATTGTTGTTTTTTCTGATAGTAATGGATAATGGTGACCACGTTAATCAATCAGACTAACTATAACTGTGTACATTTTTGTTGACTTCGCTGGGGGCTGCCATTTTTGTTTGTTTCCGGCTACCGGCACATGCACATTGTTAGCATGGCGTAAGCAATCGGCGCTTGCACCCCGCACACGCTGAGACATTTGCCTCAAGAGGCCAAAAAAATCAAACACGTGATAAATTTTGCTCAGCCGCGCGTGAGGCAAAAATCTCACCAAAATACCCCCGCACACGATGAGAAAACGGCGCAGCGCAAGTGGCGCGCGCCAAATGCTCACCGTGTGCGGGCCCCTTAACTGATACATAATTGGAACTTTGTAATTTTGATAAAAGCCTTGAAATACTGAAATAAATATATATTCTTTAACAATGTAACTTTTGAAGTGTCCTTTTGCATATTTATAGCTGCTGTATGTCAACAGAATGCTGGATCCAGCTTTTCCAGGGATTGCTCCACTAATACACCGATCCCTTAGCTCCGCCCACTTCAATTTTTGCCTAGCGACGCCCGGAAGTAGGACAAAAAGCACATACTTGTGTAAACATGGCGACTACCCGTTTAGAGGTTCTGCCGGGAGAAATTTCGTTGTGTTGCTTCACTAATACTTTATCTAAGCGTAGTAAACAAAAGGGATACTCATATTTTGTGGAGGGGTATATCCACGCGGTGTGTTTCTGTGAGCAGAAGGAGAAGGGAGAGGTGGACGTGCGTGCAAAGTGTTACCGGTCAATGAGGAAAAGCGACCCGCCGCATGGCCTTACATTGACTTTATCGTGCACTGACAATAAGATCGTTAACAGTCAGTGCAGCTGTGTTGCTGGGTAGGTACCTTACTATTTTGGAATTAACATCTAGATTTCTCCAAAAGAACGTGTCTTTGAGTCACAATTTAAGATACTTCTAGTGCCATCTGGNGCCTGTATAATTTACTTGTTTACTTGTTTGCCTTTACTGGGGTCCCCGTTCGTCAAACTGTCCCCACTCAACAATATGCATGTCTAAAATATGCTTTCAAAATGCAGATGTCACTTCACTTTTAGTGGAAGCCCCTTTAATCGCCCGTCATCCTTTCTACCTTCCTTCCAGCCGCCATCGCATCTCCTCCTGCCTGGTGGATCGGCGTCACTGACACCCAGACAGAAGGACACTTCGTATGGGCTGTGTTGAACACCACAGTGACCACGTGGTTTGGCCCGGATCCAGACAACGCCAACAGAGGTCAGGACTGTGGTACAATACGAGCTGACTGGAACTATACCTGGGACGACATCACGTGTCTCGCCCGACGAGGGTGTATTTGTGAACTGCGAATTAATGAGTCGACTGATTAACTGGCAGTTAAGTCACGTACGTTACGTCACATTATTGTGGACTTTGAAGTTGTGAGTGCAATTTTTCCTTTCTGCGGCATTGTTTTGTTCCGTGCCCACGTCTCTGGTATGCCGGTCTTGTTCATCTTTTTACTCAGTACAGTGCCGCATTAATACTTGTAAGAAAAGGTAAAAAGGGGATGAAGTGATGTACTGTGCTAAATTAAGCATTTTATACACGCCGGATTTACCCTTATAAAATATTGTAATTCTTAGTCTAAAACATCATTCTGTTCAACGAAAAGATCACAATTCTACGCACATGCCTAAACAAATTATTACATGTACTGAGTCAACTTTTTTTTTGTCTTTTTCGTATTAATATTAATGAGCTTTCTTTCCAATATCACATTGGTGTTATGCAATAACCGATACTTTCCTCATATCTCCCACATCCCTGTTGTGTCAGAATCAATTATTGATCAACGTAAACCAAATAGAAAACTCAGAATAGAAGTTACTTGATAATTTGTCAGTTGAGGTCATTTTTTATGAATGTCAAACTTAGATGAGATTTATTTGTTTTATTGTAACAAATTTACAGGACAAAGAGTTCATAGAAAATAAAAAAATCTAATAATTTTTTTCTCTTATTGTTCATCACTAGAAGCACAAAACTGTAATGTTTGTCGTAACTGAGTGCCGAATGCGGCTTTGATCACCAAATATTCTTCTTGAATTTTTTTTCACAATTGTGGAATTTTAATTCTCTCTGGATCTGCCAATGTTCCAGAACGTCAATGCCGTGCAGGATTCAAGTGTTGGGCAAAGTTTACGACCAGAAATTAACTAGGTGGTGTCGTCAGTTCTATGCATATCTCTCACGCAGAAGTGCACACAATAAGCCAGAGATATATCTGTGAAGATCTACTGAAAAATCAATGTGTGGCCCTGGCAGAGAGTGGGTGAGACGGGAGTAACTTGAGTGCATACTAACTTGTCACATCTATCGCAATCAAGGCCAAATCCACTCCATATTGCCACTGTAAGCATAAGCCCTCATTTGAGAACCTGTAACACAAGTTAACGAGTATACTTAGATTATAACGCAACGAAAGGTAAAATAATAACGAACGCAGTCTAAGTACTTTTATTTGTTTACTGCAGGATTACAGTAGAGGGTATAGACGTCAACGTTTTCACTGTCGATCTAATGGAGAATCATGATTTGTAATTAAGGAAGAATAAAGATAATACAACTGCAATATGAGCCTCCGTTATATGAACTAAATAAAGACAAGGTCAACTGAAACCAAAATGAGCCGTCAGTGGATTCCGTTGAGTGTGATAGATGTGCTGTTGGTTGTGACCAACATAGCGTGGCTAGGGAAGAAGCGTCTGCTACTGCATAAAGGTAAACTTCTTCTGCCAATTACAAATAAATTTGATGATGTGAAAAAGGCACTATGATGATGTCAATAATAGCATGGCCGCGCGTTTGTGTGTTTGTTTGTGTGCGTGTGTGCGGCTTTGATATTGTCCGTGTGTTAAAATCGAGATTCAAATTGAGACCGATTAAAAAATCGCATGACATTGCACCTCACTAAGCGGTAACTTGCTCGCCGAACTATTACTCTCCTCCAGAGGTTGTTTCAAAATTGGTTGAAAATTTTTATCTATTTCTGTTACAACCAAGAGAGACCCCTGGCAGCCTGTAACAAAGTGTGAGCTAAAGGTTCTCTGTGTGGAATTTACTCGTTAAAATGGATTTTCCTAGAGAAATAAAGCAGTTTTCTCCTACCCAAGAATCATTGCTCCACCCTTCCCTGTACTGGATAAAAAAAATTATACTG